CGTCGTTGCAAAACAATTCTTGTCGACGGTATACAGTCACGTAAGAATTGTCGCTCCAACAAGGTTCAAGATAGGCGATCTAGTACGTATTAATAAATTCAAGATAATTTTGGAAAGGGTTATACTCCTAATTGGTCCACCGAGATTTTCTACACCATTAAAACACAACATACGAATCCTGCAACGTATCTACTGAAAGATTATCAAGGGAAGCCGATAGCTGGTGGATTCTACGAATACGAATTACAGCGAGTCTCTAATCCTGACGTTTATCTCATGGAAAAAATACTACGCAAACGAGGAAATAAAGTGTACGTGAAATGGTTAGGAATGGACAGTTCACATAATTCTTGGATAGATAAAACGAATGTATTGTAAATTTTTATTTATTACAATAAAAAAATACAGCACACACATTACAAAGGTATTTTATAATGTCCCCAAGGTAGAGTAGCGACCGATTCGGGTATGACATACCACTTATCATCATACGGACTAACAGCGAGCTTCAATTCAGACCCTGTATAAACCTCGTGCAATATCGATCGTATGCACGACTGACATCTCGATTGTATCGTTACATTGTTCAAACATCGCGCATAATCGTCGAAAGTGATCGTCGAAAGTGATCGTTTTCGCGACTACGTTTTTCTTGACATCCTTTATTCTCTTCATATCGCTCTTTCCGATCACTCTCAATGCGTACATTTTCGCTCTGAGTCCTATGAATTCCGTCATAATCGCACCACCATTTTCATCTTTCATCAAATCGGGTATTTTATTATTAACATGGAATATCATACGCATTTCTCTCAAGGTGATCACTCGTGTCAAATCTCGCGATATCACGCTTGATGTCCTCATATACTACTGTGATCAAAAAGTAAGGTGAATTTTTAATTTAAACTTCCCGCGCTAATCGATTCGAGCAAACTTTTTTATTTTTATGTTGGTACTACTGTTAGTGACATCTGTGGCAAATTTCATGTCAATGTCATCATTAGTCATATAGTTACGCTTGTGTTTTCTAAACGACTAAAAGTGATTTTGGCGATTTTTACAATGTCTGATTTTGCTGAGCAAAGAAGTGCCATTAAATTTTGTTTGCGGAATGAAATTTCGGCTGCGGAAACGTTCAGAATGTTGCAGAGGGCCTTCGGAGAATCGACTATGTCGCAGAAAAATGTTTATAAGTGGTACAAAGACTTCAAAGAAGGCAGAGAACGTACTGATGACTTGGAACGCCCCGGACGACTATCAACGTCAATTGATGAGCAACACGTGAAGAAAATCAAGGAATTGGTGCTCGAAAATCGTCGATTGACAATTAGAGATCTTGTCGATATGGTTGGCATTTCATTTGGTTCAGTTCAAACAATTTTGAAGGATCACTTGGGCCTTAGAAAAGTAAAATCTTGTTTGGTGCCAAAAACACTCAATTTCTTCGTGAGTTTTTCGCCAAAAATTCCACTCATATCGTTCCGCAACCGCCTTATTCACCTGACTTAGCTCCGTGTGACTTTTGGCTATTTCCCAAACTCAAAAGACCGCTCCGGGGACACCGCTTTGAATCTATTGAAGAGATTCAACGTGAATCGCTGCGCGCTTTGAAGGCTATACCGGGAAACGACTTTTTGGCATGCTTCGAGGCATGGAAAAAACGTTGGTATAAGTGCATTGTATCGTAGGGGGATTACTTTGAAGGGGATCAAATTGATTTGGATGAATAAATAAAGATTTTTTATTTTATAACAAAATTCACCTTACTTTTTGATCACAGTAGTACATTCTCACACTCCAGAAGATAAATCAAGCTGACCGTGTATATAATCTTACATTTATCGCAATACAATGATATTATGTACTCATAGTGAAATTCATATAGACGCAACTTAGATATTTCGAGAATGCACATACCTACGTATATCGGTTTATTCAATTTTACCTCGAGTTTGCGCAATTCGACAGCAATTAGATTTTCAGAAAAAATACTTCTACTGTGAAAATTCGGTTTCGCTATCATCGCTTCCGCACCGTATCTCCCATCCTAATGCGTTATAAGTCGAACAGCAACATGATCGCGTACGTTCTTCATCATTTTTATACCGCATTATTCATCAATTTGTAAAGATTCTTCTCAAATTCGTTATTCGCGAGCATTCTAAATCTCGTATTAAGTTCGATATATCCGCGAAGCCATGGGGATTGTGCGAATCGTAATATTCGATGAATTTTTTTTACGTATATGTAATTCATGCTGAATGCATTGTTGTAAATTGCGATAGTACACGACATAGCGCTCCTTATTGTAAAGAGTGGTCAGCAGTTTATCATTCCATTTTCCGGGAGACCGTTCGCGAGTGGGGCAGAATGGAAGGTCAGCATGAGCGTCATGAACGCTTTGCGAATACGCAAGGTCGACTTTTAGAATATAACCGATAACGGAGTCTGACGACACAGACATTACATCAAAGCGATGTGTCGTCGACTCATTGAAATTCTCCGTACGGTAAGGATTCGGACATCGCCCAACCGTACAAATTATTCATCGAAGTACATGAGGTACGTCGATGGTTCCGAAGGGTCGTACGAAGATGCATTATACTTGTTATTAGCTTGCGCGTATCTATGTAAACATTGACTTAAACCACCGCGTATACCACGTTCCACAAACATCACCATATCGATGTCGGTGAGTAATTCGAATTAAATACCAGTGTATTTCAACATAGCGTCCCACGTATATCCCGGTAAAGTGTAATAATATGTCGGATCCAATCCGTAACTCTCAATACACGTATCACGAAAATTTTCAAAAACATCTACTAATAAAAGCACATCTGTCTTGAGATACAAATCACTGTAATCGCCGAGAGTCTCTATGCAAAAACGCGAAACGTTTGTCGCATGTTGATAATTGTCATCGGAAGCAGTCTCGTCGGTCAACGAACTAGAAAACAATTCACGCGGTGATAAACTAGTCTCATTTAGCTTATCAACACTGTCGATACTCGTACGGAAACACTCCTTTCCGCGTCAGCAGATCAAAATCCTCAGCGTCAAGATTGAAAAATTCTGATCGTGTGATTTTCAATTTACTCTTGTCGAGATATGATACCAATTTCTCGAGATTAGTATTGAGAAATTTGAATGAATCCACAAAACGCAATTTCACACAGTCCGTTTCCCACTTAAAGTTTATCCTTGACATGTTTCGTAAACAATATATAATTTTCTTTCGTTATAGGTAACACGTCAACTCTACTCACAAAACTATTAGCAATATCTTTTATGGTAAAATGTGCGTTATAACCTGTCAAGTTATGAAAGAATACAGGAATAACGTACGTATCTTGATAATGTAAATTACAACGTGAATGTGCAAGACCTCTATAACGTCCGGTTAAATGACAATGATCGCGTACGCGCAAATCTCCTTCCTCAAATGGTCTTTCACAGATATGATAGTGAGTCGCGTTTCGAAATTTTTCCCACTCGACGTTCGATGTAAACTCCGCCATAGTCACATTCTTATCGAATATCATTTTCGCGCGATGCGCCAAATCGTATAATTCCTTGACAAACCACGATACGCAATCCTCGCCGCGATAAGATTTGTATATCGACATAGTTTTATCGTATACACAACGTATGTAATACCCTACGCTAAAAACCTTGTGATGCTGATAGGTAAATCTCGAAATGTTTTCATCATTGATCTTCTTCTCCAGTATACACTCCAAATCGGCATAAACCACAAAGAGAAGTCGCTCCTTCTTATTATGACTACGAAACGATAACCACTTATCGTTCTCGTTCGGAAGAATAATACACAATCGTTTGTCGTAGTACAGTCAACGATGTGAAGCGATAACTTCTCGCTCGTATGAAAATAATGTAGACATCTGTAAAGTAACAAGTCATACGCGTTACACAACTTTTTTTATCGCTATATATATATATATATACACACACAAACAATTAGTATACCTACCCATCACACAAATATTTCTTCTTTGTATTCTTACTCAATTGCGAACCTATCAATCGTGACAGATTTTTAATCCATGTGAAATGATCAATGACGTTTTCGTCGTCGCGTCTTGACTCTTGCAGGTACAAGAGATTTACATGTTTTTCTTTCTTCTCTTTGGTAAGGCAAAGAGGAACGATTATATTACCATCGTCTTTTTTCCCACCTCTCTCTCGCTCGGTAAATACGTTGATAGATATATCGTTCAAAAGTTCAAATTTCGTAATTTGTTTTAAAGTAAGTTAAGTACGGGAAACTCGATACTCTCAAGATTCAATACAGTAGTATAATCCGGATACGACAATTTCCTATTCATATGACTTTTAACTGGATATAGAGCAGCGATCACCGACCAGGCGAAACATGCATTGTACATCGAACGCACATTGATTACCGCTTTCTTCAGCATAATTTCTCAGGTCCACCCAACATCCCGCATACATAGGATTATACTCGTATTTGTTAACATTTACAATTAGATTTAATATACGTGATAGCGTCCATCCACTGTCACGTTCCTGAAATTCCTCCAGTGCTGCTAAAATATCATCTGTCACATGTTTATCGTACCACTCTCGCAGATCGGATGTATCAAAAAGCTTGTAATTTTTCGTAGTAATACTCTTAGCAGATCTTTTAGCATCCGCGACAAACTCACCGTTGAATATCGTATTCATTTTTAAACAAATATGTCTCTGAAGATTATCACATATCCGATCGAGAACGATATCTTTCGCGTCATCGAGAAACTGTCGAGGTTCGATGTAACTCGAATTCAACACCAATCAATATGCGATTATTAAAAGCTGTTTCGATCTCCAATCACGAAAATCCCCTCTTTTGCGATTCGATATGGCCAGAGCCCACATGTTCGAAACGTTGTCGTAAAACATTTCTCAAACCTTTCAATTGTGCTAGTCGAGCAATCGATGCATTTACTCCAGTAGATGTTCGTCGACGTTTACTCTTTCGACACGTCTCCCGCAAGAAATCGAGACACTCGTCGCATTTTTTCCCCTCCCATACTTGATACATATCCGCCGTATCGATGCTCGTCGCACGATGAAAAAGATCCTCCACCTTCTCATCCATCTTTCTCTATATTAAAAAAGTTACTGCCCTCGCTTACACGTGAAGAGCGTTTTACCGCAACTATCTATAGGTATGTCGCATTTAATTTTTTCATACATCCTTCCAATATCACCGATTTTTCGCACCCCTTTCACAGCTGCGTTTTATACCTTCTTGCACAATCGTCAACAAGAACTACCACGCTTTTCATCCATAAAATCTCTCGCGAACAGTAATTTCCGATCTCTCTCCGTAAATGATGTATAGCTAAATTCCAACACCTCTTCTCCTTTATACAGAATGTAACCAACGTAGGACTCGGTAATAGACGCTCGTGACAATACAGATCGCTATCTGTATCTGAAAACACGTGTGACAGATCGCTGTCCGTACTCTCGTTCGAATTGTTATCGCTGTTCGTACTTTCGTTCGGACTGTTATCGCTATCGCTTGACATATTAAGCATTTAAAAACCACTGTGAGAAGAACCTTACCCCATATGCATTTATATATCTTTCCATCATCGGAAACATCAAAAACCATAACCCCATCTTATCTTTTAAAAGAATACGCATAAAAAATAAAAGATGTGTACGAAAGAAACATAGACAACCATGACGCATCTTATCATATTCAAAGGATGTGGTATCTTCACACACACATACATGCACACAGGATATGTGTAACGGAAAGAAATCCATTATTCAACTTTTTCTTTTAATTTTAATAAAATGCATATTATAATGAGTACAT